GTACCTATATATGTAGTATCAAAGCAATGGACTTGCGGTTTTTAACAAGAAGTCGAAAATATCACTTTTTACCAAAAATGATAAAAATATTCACCAAAATTAGAGAATTAAAGATATCATTACAAAATGAACAATTTGAGAGAGATCCACATGTAGTACCTATATATGTAATATCAAAGCAATTGCACTTGCGGTTTTTAACAAGAAGTCGAAAATATCACTTTTTACCAAAAATGATAAAAATATTCACCAAAATTAGAGAATTAAAGATATCATTACAAAATGAACAAATCTGAGAGAGGTCCACATGTAGTACCTATATATGTAATATCAAAGCAATTGCACTTGCGGTTTTTAACAAGAAGTCGAAAATATCACTTTTTACCAAAAATGACAAAAATATTCACCAAAATTAGAGAATTAAAGATATCATTACAAAATGAACAAATCTGAGAGAGGTCCACATGTAGTACCTATATATGTAGTATCAAAGCAATTGCACTTGCGGTTTTTAACAAGAAGTCGAAAATATCACTTTTTACCAAAAATGACAAAAATATTCACCAAAATTAGAGAATTGAAGATATCAACATGAAATGAACAAACCTAAGAGAGGTCTACCCAAGGTACATATACACCAAGTATCAAAACATTCAGGCTTGTAGTTTTCAAGAAGAAGCCGAAAAAGTAAAACATTGACACGGACGACGGACGACGGACGACGACGACGACGGACGACGACGGACGACGACGGACAATCACTCATATGATAAGCTCCGCTCGACAAAGTCGACAGCGGAGCTAAAAACGAAACATAAGTCAAACATGATCGTGTACCAGGTGACTAACATGCAATGTAATATGCGTCACAGAAAGAAATGTTGCCAACAATGAATTCATTCGCAACCAGACTCACTCATGTTATTCTAAATGAGCTATGTACAATTTGTTATATTTATTAATTTTGTTAGTAATTTGATTTTCAGACTATGAATATTTAATACATATATTCCTACAATTAAACTTAGGCGTGAGTGAGTATGTGACAAACATATAATAAATAATACAAAAACAATACATTTTCAAAAAAAACAAGACGGTTGCCATACGTTCTTCTTCAATCTGATCATGAAACAAACTGATATACACATGTATTCCAAGATTTATAATGTATGTGCCAAATATGAAAGGAAAAGGTCCATAAGTCTTGGCGATATAGTGGTATGGCCAAAAAGCAAGATGGGCCGCCAGTCGGACATCTTTTATCTGAACCCGAAACGAATCGTCATGGAAATGCATAATGTATGTACCAAATTGGAACAAAAAATGACAAAGCATACGACATTTTTTAAAAATCAAAATGGCTATCGAATCACTAAACCATTGCATGTACATATGTTCGACATAAAGTACTAGACACATGCAAAGAATTAACGAATTCGCTCTAGTGGGTTCTGAAATACGACTCGGGACGAATGGATGAACGGACGGTCAGGCGGACGGGTGGACGGACAGACGGGGACCGAATTATATGTCCCCGTAATTATATGTCCCCGTTTTCGAACTTCGAACGGGGGCTAAAAACGTAGTTGAACTCTTTATTTGGATAATACGATTAAATCAACACCGCGCTTTTGAATAATATAAACAGGAAACACATTCCATATTTGAATAACACGACTACGAGATCAGTATCGTTATACATGCACAAGTCAGCCAACAAGTGCATGAATCAGAGTTAGGAATAGTAGTTGGAAGAGTTAGTAGTACCAGCAAACAATCGAGAAGACAAAAATAACGGTTCCATTACATAGCATCATGTAGCACGCGCGAGCGAATCTAGTCCGTCGGACTCAACGCGGTGGCGGCAACTCTCCAGTAACTGCGTAATAGTTTGGCAGTTACCATAGAAACAAGGAGCGTGAGTGACTCACCAATAGCACTTCTATAAACGTTGACACGTCATTGTCGTTGTATGTCATGGCGTTGTTGCAGACGATGTCAATCTGTCCGAAATGTTCTTTCGTTTTACGGAATGCAGCTGCAATAAGACAAGATGTAACAACTGTCATTTCGGGCTCATATCGCAAATATACACACAAACCCATATACACCCCTACACCTCTACATATATATAAATTCAGCCAAACGAGACCTTTCATTCCATGAAGCGCTCGCGCATCAGCCCTACACTGTTATTGGTCGACACACTGATGTATTAACCCATCAAATCTGTGACAGTGTTGTACTAACTCGTGCAATGCAAAACTGTCCTTTGAGTTTATACAATTTTACAATTATATGGTAAAGTCCGTCTGCACAATAAGCAAGACGCCATGCAATTTACGGTCCTTGTCCATATTATCTAATTACATTAGCTTATAATTAATTTAATAAAAAAACACTGACTTCACATCTAATGTGTTATAATACTGATAAGCGAAACGTAATCACCTTTTAAATCGGATTGACAGGCGACATCACATTGGAGAAAAATAACTTTGCCTTCTCCGTAGTCTGCGCTCAAAGATGAGAGAGCTGTTTCCCCTTCACTGTCATCAATATCAAGCAATGAAACGCCCTGTTATAAACAACGTAATATGTCAATAAACTAATGATAGCCCCTGTTATAAACAACGTAATATGTAAATAAACCAATGATATCCCCTGTTATAAACACATACACCCTGCTCTACGTAAACCAGTCAATGATTCACCCTGTTATAATACACAATGATCACAACAGTATGTAAATCAACCAATAATGTGCCTGTTATAATTACCACAGTACATACATCAACCAATGATTTACCTTGTTATAAACAACATAGTATGTAAATCAACCAATAATGCGCGTGTTATAATCGCCACAGTACATACATAAACCAATGATTTACCTTGTTATAAACAACATAGTATGTAAATCAACCAATAATGCGCGTGTTATAATCGCCACAGTACATATATAAACCAATGATTTACCTTGTTATAAACAACACAATATGTAAATCAACCAACTGCTACTTGGATAACAGGGCGGAAGTCGTCGCGCCACGCATGCGCGACTTTGGCTGTTGCGCAGATCAACGAGTAAAAACTGAGACGTTACCAAGCGTTAATAAGATATTTTTTAGGTAATGGGAATATCGAAGGAGTCACCGGCAGTAATTAGTGCAAGTCGCGCCGAGGTCAAACCTCATACTTGTGATTTCCATTAAAAGAGCGC